CCCAAAGCGGACAATATTGTGCTACAGTGGTGAAGCGGGCCCGGGTTGTGGTGGGAGCACGAGGCCAGGATGTGACAATTTGGTATCATAGCCTAACCCTGGTTGTTGTGTACCGACGAGGAAGTCGGGCCCCTAAGGGGGTGGATTGTGATAGTATAAAGTCAAGGAACCAATTAGAATTAGAGGGAGAGGGTGAGACCCAATCAGAAAAGAAGGAAAAAAAAAGAAAAGAAAAAAGGAAAGCTTCCCGTGCACCCGTGCCCAACCCTATGTGACCACCCATTTTCCAAGGTCGATTCCGACTAACTCCGTTGGAGTTTTTCAACGCCACCACCTCCAACTTGAAGCTCTCATTCCCCTCTACAAATCCACCCAAGAACCACCTTGATTAACCTTTGTATGTGGCGGTTTAAGGTCACGAAAGTTAACGGTTCTCACGGTGCCCTGGCCACCCATTTTAATTTTCTGGCAAAACGGCAAAGCGATGGCCGATGCCACCACTTGGGCTTTGTAGCCCATCATCCCAGGAGCAAATTTCAACCAACCTTGACCCTGCTGGTCCACCGTAAACGACGAATCGATGACGGGAAGTTTTTGTCACCGCATAGGAACCACTTATAGTGGTCTATACGACAGGACTGTGCACTACCTTGAATCCAAGGTAAGCATAAGGTGCGGGAGGTGACCCGCGATTATTTGCATAGTCTTCACGTGATTGTAGCACTTGAGCGTACTTATTTACACCCAGTCCTGTCGTACAGACCACTAGAGGTAGTTCCGACTCGTGTGCAGGGATGATTGGTGAGATATGGATAAGTCGTACAAGTCAATATGAGTGACTCCCGACTTATATACTAACATTGATTGATGAGATATAAGTACAATCGTACGGGTCACATTAGGTGATTCCAGCTGATATATCAATTATATTGATCAAGTTCATTTGGCCTACTTGTTAATGCATTGTAGAGTTGATGAACATGGCATACCTATGGTTTTGGCCATTTTTGAGCATGGGTGGATCTATATATATATATATATATATATATATATATATTCGTGTAGTACTGTCCTATAGAAAACAATAAGGGATTTACAGTGAGGAGTTATTACTGTTAGAAAGGTAATAGTTTGGTTTTACTACTTACTCACACTTTTTGTTTTGTACCCCTTTAGGTTTTAACTGCTGAGTTCGTATCGACAAGGATATATGGTTAATCTTAGTATTGGTGGCTACTTTTAAGGGTTTGATTCTTATCCACGCTACTGTACTTTACTTATGCTCTAACATCACGTGTGAAATGAGTTCGCTCCCACTCGTAGCGCACGCTGGTATTTAGACACTTTTAGGTTCAAATTTATTCACATTATACACTATCACATTTTATGGCTTCGTCACCTTCCAGGTGTCGGCCAGCACAGCTTGATTCTATGTCCAAGTGGACTTTCCAGGTCGGGGTGTGTCGATCAATTGTCATATTGTCTACCATAGCACAATATTGTCCACTTTAGGCCTCGACCACGCCCTCACAGTTTTGTTTCTGGGAACGCACATGAGAACTTCTCAGTGGGTCACCCATTATGGGATTGCTCTTACGCTAACTCGCTTAACTTCGGAGTTTCGATGGAATCCGAAGTCAGTGAGCTCCCAAAAGGCCCCGTGCTAGGTAGGGATGAAAATATACATATAAGGATCACTCCCCCAGGTGATGTAGGATCTTACAATCCACGCCCCTTAGGGGCCCGACATCCTTGTCGGCATACCACAACCAGGTTAGGCTCTGATACCAAATTGTCACATCCCGGCCCGGGCCTTCACCACAACCTGGGCCCGCTCCACCATCGTAGCATGATATTGTCCGCTTTGGGCCCCGATCACGCTCTCACGGTTTTGTTTTTGGGAACTCACACGAGAACTTCCCAGTGGGTCACCCATCTTGGGATTGCTCTCATGCGAACTCGCTTAACTTCGGAGTTTCAATGGAACCCAAAGCCAGTGAGCTCCCAAAAGGCCTCATGCTAGGTAAAGATAGGAATATGGGCTCTACTCGCACGAGAGCAATCCCATGATGGGTGACCCACTGGGAAGTTCTCGTGTAAGTTCCCAGAAACAAAACGGTGAGGGTATGCTGGGACCCAAAACGGACAATATCGTGCTACGGTGGAATCGAGCGTGGGAAGTGGTCCCACCCGACCCGGGATGTGACAATTTAGTATCAGAGCCTAACCTTGGTCGTTGTGTGCCGACGACGACGTCGGGCCCCTAAGGGGGGTGGATTGTGACATCCTACATCACCCAGGGGTGTGATCCTTATATGTATATTCCCATCCTTACCTAGCATGAGGCCTTTTGGGAGCTCACTAGCTTTGAGTTCCATCGGAACTCCGAAGTTAAGCAAGTAGCGCACAAGAGCAATCCCATGATGGGTGACCCAGTGGGAAGTTCTCGTGTGAGTTCCCAGAAACAAAACCGTGAAGGTGTGCTGGGGTCCAAAGCGGACAATATTGTGCTACGATAGAATCGAGCCCGGGATGTGGTCCCACCCGTGCCGGGATGTGACAATAAGAGTATGTGAAAAAGAGAGGATGGCAGAGAGAAAATAGCTCATATGTATGAAAATTGTGTCGTTACCCTTGGCCTTGTACTAGGGATGGTGATATAACCCATCAAAGTCGATCCCCGCATGTAATCGATCCAAACGGTTCAATTTTAGAGATTAAATTTCAAGTATTTTTCCAATTATGGATAGCCGTCGGGTAAATTTTCAGTTTTGAGTTCGGTTATGGTTATTAGGGTATCCGCCTCGAACCCATATCCAAAACAGAACTATTTTCATTTTTTAATAAAAAAACATAAATATTTATTACATGGAAAAACGAGTTATCAATAATCATGCGTTATAAAATATGAAAGTCCTTATGAGCATTATATCATTAATAGTATAATTAGGACATCTTCAAATGAGATGTCAAAATTTTATTTGATAGTTGATATGGCCAATTGAATACAAATGTTAAATTTTCTTCTTTTTCAATAGATGTGTCAAATATTTATTTTATTATTACATGGACCCCATGGTTACATTAACTATTAAAAAATAATTAAAAACCATGCATAAAAAGTTAAATTAAATTAAATATATTTGACTCATTCTTTGTTTTATGTCAAAAAAACAACTAAAAAGTAAGGAGTTAAATGACTCAGTTGTCATATCATATATGTCATATACATTGGAGAATATCTGAATATCATTAGTCTTATTTGGTATATTTGACATCTCCTTTGGAGATGTCAATTATAATATGTCAAAATTTTTTTTTGTTGGCTAATGTGGCCAATTGAATACCAATGTTAAATCTTGTGGCCAATTAAATATTCGTTTTATTATTATATTGGGCCCCACAGTTACATTAACTATTAAAAAAATAATTAAAATTCATTTTAATTTTTATTCTATTAGTTGTCAATGGGACCATGCATAAAAAATATAATTAAATATATTTCACTTCTCTTTGTTTGATGTAAAAAAAAGACAACTAGAAAGTAAAAAGTCAAATGACCTGTCACATCATATATGAAATATAGAATGAAAAACACCTCAATGTCATTTAGAGCATCCCCAGCGTGGGGTTTAGCTCGGGGGACGGGCTCCAAAACGGAGGCCCGAGTGAAGGTGGATCGGCTCCAGCGTGAGGCAGGCCGGGGGATGGGGGAGGCCCGAGGGCCAGGCCCGTGAGGGATTGCCAGCCCTTGAGCCCGAGGTGGGAGTGACACAAGGTTGACGCCAGGGTGGCGTCAGCGTATTATTTTATTTTTTTTGTGTCAGGCGCGTGCACCCCACCCGCGCGTGGGGGCGCGTCCCGACACAATAATTAGAAAAAAAAAAAAAGTTTTGTCAGTTACCGTTGGGAAGCCACGTGGCTTCCCACGGTACGTTAGATCCTAACGGTCACTTAATGTGGACCGTTAGATCTCAACGGTAAAAAAAAATAAAACTGTCAGATTTAATATCCACCGTTCGATCTGAGATCAACGGTGGATATTAAAATGCTTTAAAAATTAAAAAATAAATGAAATAATAGTTTAAAAAATCTGAAAAGTTACCGTTGTGACACGTGGCACAATCTGGAGCGTTGGAATTCAAATTTTTTTATATCCAACGGCAGAGATTAATTAATTGAATAAAAATTTTAAAAAAAAGTGTAAAAAATTCAATAATACTTAGGATAATGACACGTGGCGCACCGACAACGATTAAAAATCTTATCCGATATTACATTTTAAATTATTTTGTATTAATTTTATAAATAAAAAAAATACTAATATTTTATTGCCTATTGCCAGGGCTATAGAAGTGTAACGGTGGAGATGCAAAATCTATTGCCAGGGCTACTTACTGTTCATTAAGGGCAATTACTGTTCATTAGGTGGATTGAATTGTGTATTGCCAGGGGGGAGGGCTCCAACGCTGGAGTTGCTCTTAGTCTTACTTAGTGTATTTGACATCTCTTTTAGAGATAGTCTTATATGCTCATCAATTATCAGTAGTATAAATATTTTTTTGATAATGTAAATTTTTTATATTATTTATTATATGCATTATATTAGTTCTATTAATAATAATAGTCTATTTAATCTCATTTTTATTTAAAATCTACTATTTAATTAATAATATAAAGATATATAAATATCATAACATGAAAAACCGTTAATTGATGGGAAATCCGTTATCCAATGAGTTCAATTATGGGGAAACCCGTATGGGGATTCTACAGTTTTGAGCTTGGGAAAATATCGGATTTGGATGTGGGATGAGACATCCAAACCCGATCTACCGTTGCCATCCCTACCCTTTGCCTTTATTTATAGTAATCAAGATGAATTTTTTTACCTTACAAGTAATACAAATGTATGAAAATTTGATCTTCAAACCCAATTGGAATTCTACTTTAAGTTTACGCAATTACATTCGCAACTAATAATTCTATTCACAATAACATTCAAATTATAAAACTCCTTGAAACCTGATATTATTTACATACAAAAACTAACCAATGTCTGTAATTCCAAGCTACAGCAGAAAGAATCCACAACAATGAGCTCAAAAATTGGAATGTCTAGAAATACATGACTAAGTAAATCCACCTTCAAAGTTTAAAAGTATACATAATATAAACATCAAAACGTCGAAGTGTTCACAATTTAACTAAAATTATGTAGCTGGAGTGGGGCGCCCTATTTGGTTCCTAAAGTTATCTACATTATCTGTGTTCCACCAAAGCTTCTTCCGAATAGCTGGATTGACATCACTCGCTTTGCCATCGCCATCGCTATCCATTCTTTCTGACTGTACTTCCGGCGCATCATCTAAACCAGGAGTCTCAGTTAGGCATTGTTCCCAAAAGACATCATTTGCCTTGGCTGGCTCGGCATTTTTCACTTCTACTACATTTTCTTTCGAGGAATCAAGAGCAGGGGCACTGTCGGGCTTGGAGTTCATATCAATTGCTGAAGATTTAGACCTGAAATCAACAGTGTGGCACATTGATGTTATAGTAAGGATGTCAAAAAGATTTGCAGACCCAGCCACCTCTGGGAAGGAATGAGCATTCATTGAATTCGGTGAAGATATATGCGATCTAGGTGAGCAAGGCCTGCTATTCATGCTGGTGTCTTGTATTTCTGTAACAATGATAGGAGAGGCCTGAGACAACGGGCCAATATCATTTACTTCTTCGGGCATCGCTTCCCCAACCCCATGTAGAAAATCTTCCCAAAAGTTCAAGGAAGACTCCATCTTCTCAAGCTGGTCCAACTTTATTCCCAAAGTTTCTTTCTGCGGATTCAAAGTCAAATCTTCCATACCAAAGTCATCAGGAAAGTCGTTCGATTTCAGTAATCTTCTCTTTTTGCTATGGATTTCTGACTGCTGCACAAGTACAGAAGCAAATCCCGGTTTCTGCACTAGTTGAGCCAGGAAAGCCGTATATTGCCTCTGCCGATTCTCCATGTTCTGCAGCTGTTCTCGTAATATCTGTATTTGAAATTCAAACTCCTGGTTCTCTCTTTGATGCCGTTGTACCTCCAACTCAAGCAAGCTTTTATCATGATTCAGTCTGTTGATTTTCTTCTCATATTCTTCTCTCTCCGTATCAGTCAAAGGAACTGAAGAATACTCGTGATTCTGCAAGGAATGACTATGAATTGGCTTGCGGCGGTGAATATTCTTCAGCAGATGTCTTCCTCCCCTTAAGAATTCCTCATTTGCAAACTCCCACTGTTCTGGATCAATCTTTCTAAACCCCTGCGCATACAGAACACAAATGTTTAACAATTACAAATCATACGTACTCAGATTAACAACTCAAAAGGAAAAAGAAATTTCATGGTGCTAGGTTACACAAATATTGTACTAAAGTAGCACATGCTATATTAATCAAGCACACACATAATACATATTTCAAGCTTTCTAATCTCCTGAGGAATGGTCTAAATCCTCCTTACAGCAGATTTCTCGTTACCGTTTTAGGAATGGAATCAATGGTTTAGTTTTTTTCGTCTGCACAGTGAATGGAAAAAGTTCAAGAAGTAGCAATTCTATATCTCAGCACTAAGTGCAAAAGTCTATAATTCGACTTCAGGAATGACCCGCCCTTTCGGATAAAAAATAGCTTAAATATGACCTTTTTTTAGATTTCCCGCCCTACAAGAAGTAGCAATTCTGAACTATATTTTCTCCTTCTTTAAGAAAACTCATCCTACAAATCTCGGCAAACCAGGGCAATATAAGATACACTTCAAACCAATGCCTTTACATGCTCCATAACCGTGCAACATAGGAAATATTTGCACCTTTTGCTCTCCCTTATCCGGAAAATACCTCTGAATTGCTGCCCACCATATGGTAGCATGTCTTGGAAGCTTTCTGGTGAGGCCTCAACACCGTGTGCCAACAGGGTACCTACCTACTCAATGTGCTGACACTTTCCCCTAGTTCAAGCAAAATAAACACCCCGTGCAAAGCATTTATATAATCTTATCGCTCAAATTTCAAACCATGTCAATTGACTGCTGAGTATCCTCAGTCGTAGTAGCCGCAAGAAGCATTTCTTGTTTTCGCCATCATTTTAGAAGTTTACTCCATGACCAGGTTTCTTTGTTTCGCAGCGTTAGACCCAGGTACTCCTTTTCCGACCTGGTATATGTTTGGAACATATAGGAAAAGCATCTATGGCTCGTAGCTATTGGCGCTCCATAGTCTTGGCCATATTGAAGACCTCTCATTACGGAACAATTTTCCATTTTGATTCTATAAACTCAGCTAATTTCTGAGAAGGGATCACCTCCTTCTCAATTGTTGTCTACGAGAGAAACAATCTACAAGAAAAAGTTTGATTACCCTTTCGAGCAAAGGCCAAACTGGACTAGTGCACTCGCAATCGAAGACAACAATTGTAAACAGAACAATTATACAAAAAAATGATACCAGCGTTACCATGCTTGCAACTGCTTATGAAATAGAGTTACAAATACTCCAACAAACACAAATAATTCCTACTTCAGAAGGCAATAAAGTGTGTACAAGCGCAAATTAGAACAAAAAACTGCAAACAAACAAACCAATTCTGAAGTTTATAATCCCGCTGAGTTAATAGGTCATTTAAGTTTAGTTCATCACAATAAAATTAAACACATAAACATCACGCAGTGAATCGTATCGAAATGCTATGATTCCAATGCTAATGAGCCACTGTATTGAAGATAAATGAAATGCTTAAAAAGTGAAGGAAATACCAAAGAACTTACATATGTATTAAGCTGCCTCACGAAACTCGAAAAATTGTTGTGCTTGAAATACATGGGAAGCATTTCCTTGGCGAAGTCGGTGGGATCCCAAACTACAAAACTAGAACCAGTTTCACTCCAAGACACCATGTGGTTGGACGAAGGATCATCCACCAAGTCATATGTTTTAGTAAGAAACGGCGCCGGCGCACCACCAGAACCACCCTGAGAACCATCCATAATTCACAAACTCTAAACCAGAAATATTCAATCAGGATTGGCAATCGGCAAGTGGGTCAAATATCTTCAATCTAGCAGGATTTTTTTACACAAGACCTCGCGAGGAAGGGTAAACACTCTCGACCACTTGAGCTACAAGTCACTTGCAAATCTTAGTTGAAGTTAGTGAAAACACAGAACTCTGTGAGCCAGAATTTTGAAAACCCAGAATCCAAAGACTGGCAAAAAAAAAATTGAAATTCAACTCAAGTTTCAATGAAGTAACATGTAAACCGTATGAGCATCGAAACCAAACAATCTGAAAGATGGGGTTTCTTCTACTTCTTCTTCTTTTCAATTCAGAAGCTGGAAAATTGGCATCCAATCATGTTTTTGGGGGGATTTGAAAAAAAAAAAAAAAAAAAAAACCAACTACAATCCAAGTCAATCAAAGGGAGTTTATTGTTTTGGTGAATCCGAACTGGGATTGCTTCAAATGAAAGCAAAAAGCGTAGAAAGGAGGAAGATGAAAGATTTAAGCCAATCCCAGAAAGTGTATAAATGAATGATGCAAATGGAGGAAAGCAGTTGAGAGGTAATGTCACAGAGGACGACCGGAACTCCGTTTTTGTATGCGCACAAGCTTTGACTTTTCCGACCCAATCTAAACGCGCAACGAGAGAGAAAGCAAAAGAGACAGACGGAGGAGAACAAAGTGTTCGATTTTTGTAAGCATTAGCGTGTCAATATTTTGATTTATTTATTGTTTCATTTTTTTATTTTTATAATAAAAAATATTTTCCACTGGTTTAAATTAAAGAGATATTGAGAGTTGGTTTGGAATGACGTTGCTTTTAAAAAATCAGCTTATTAAAAAATTTAAAATATTAAATGTGTTTGGTAAAACACAAAAAAATGCTTTTTTGAGAAACAGTTGTTAATGACAGTAGAAAATCATAGAAATGTAAAAGCAAAGTCTAACATGCTTCTGAAAAAGTTCTTTTTTTTTTTTCAAAACATAGTAATCAGTATTCATTTAATGAAATTTTTAGGCAAGTATATATTTTACAAAATTACAATCATTGCCCCTATATTATTCTCTTTGACAATTATTATATTACATTAAATACCATATTTTTTTAGTAATTTAATATATTCATAGCAATTTATATAAAAGTTGATCAAACATTATTTTTTTTGTTAAAAGCACTTTTACAAAAAAAAAGTTTACCAAATACTGAACAACTTTATTTTACAACGGTTTCTTCTCACAGCATGTCAGAAGTAGTTTTTTCAAAAGGCACATCAATACCAAATTAACCATGAATCTGAGAGACATTGCATTGAAGAGGAAGAACTCTAATGACTAGGACAATCCACCCCTTTTAATTTGTTTTAAAATATTTTTTATACAACTATATATTACGCCAAAGAAGTATAAGAACAAATTAGTTTCAAATCTAACACCGTCTTTTTGTTGGTTCATACACGTATAAAAACTTAAAAGAGAGAGAATATTTGTGTTTTCTTTTATATTTGTTGTAATTGTAGGAGAAAATTATGAGGCAAATAGGTAGCACAGGACTTTGGTGTTTTTATGTGTGGAAAGCAAACCAGCGTTGACTGGAGCCAAGAGTGACAGCCTTTCCATTCAACTTTCAACGATTCAACGATTCAACGATTCAACTTTCAACTTTCAAATTTCAAAGGGAAGTGGAGGAGAAATGGTCTTTAGTCTTGCTCTTTATACTTCCGTCCCCACACCACCACTACTTTTTCTCATCATTTTACTATAATTTTTTTTTTTAACAAATGAATTTATCTAAATTATAAAAAAAATAAAAAAAAAATGAAAAGTGGGCTAAGTCTCACAATAGGCAAGCAATAATGTGGTTCAAATTCGTATTTGATGAAAGTCGAGCATAAGACCTCTCACTTACAAGTAAAGAGGAATTCCACTAGACCGTAGTATTAAGTGGCCACTACAATATGTTTATAGTTTAGGATAAATCTCAGTTTACTACCCTCAAGTTTCATGGTTTTCAACATTTAGCACATGAAATTTTTTTTTTCACAGAGTCATACCTAAAGTGTTAATTTTGGGACAGTCTCATACATTCGTCAATCTGATTGTTAAGTCTCCTGTTAATTGATGATGTGGCCCCCATATGGACAATGACTGGGCACCACGTGTAATTAAGGGGTCCACATGGAATTTAAAAATTCAAAAAAAAAAATTCCAGCCCAAATTTAAAGTATTAAAATAATTAATTAAATAAAAATATTATGAAAAAAAAAACCCATAACCCCCTTCGTCTTCCCCACCCAACACCCCTTCATCCCTTCCACCCCTCCACCCCCTCCACCCTCTTTGTCTTCTCCACCTGAGCACACCCTTCTCCTATCCCCCATCATTAGACCTGGCAATTTCTTACACAATCCGTTAACACGACACGTAAACGACACGAAAATAACGGGTTTCGGGTCAACACGATAACTAATCGGGTCATTATCGGGTCACACGATAATAACCCGTTAATAACGGGTCCTTAACAGGTTTACACGAAAGTGACACGTGGGTAACCTGTTTCGACACAATAAGAAAAAAGTTATTTTGATGATTTTAATTTTTTAAACTGCTAAAAAAAACTTACTATAAAATGCAATAGATATAATGAATATGTATATATTGTTTATTAATTATTATTCTATATAAATTTTAAAATTTAAGTTTTATTTATTTATTTTTATAGTATATTATAGGCAAAGATTGAGATTAAAAATCATAAAACACATTAAAAATAAAAATATCAAGTAATTTAAAAATACCAAATACATAAAAAAATTATAATAATTAATTTACATGTGCTAAAAATATGAAAAAAATATACAAACGCTCGTAGTCACATCCTCTATGCTTTCAGAATGGGTATATGATCGTTTGAATTTTTAAAACCATGCAAACTCTCATGAATAGTATTTTTAGGGGAGTTCAAAATAAACAAAATTCATAATCATTAATGTATAAGTCTGAAAGATGTGAAAGCATAATAAACGTTCATAATTGCATCCTCAACACTTAGACGATGGTTACATGGTCGTTTAGATTTTTAAAACCCTCCAAATCTCATGAACAATGTTTTTTATTTGAGTGCAAAATTAATAATAATTATTGTAGAAGTGTGAAAAATGTAATCAGTCGTAATGAAAAACTTTACAACTTTCATGAAGGGGTCAACTTCGAAATTTAGTATGTACATACTACTTTAGTATTATGTTTTACATTTTTTTTGGGTCAAATTATGTTTTTCATTTTCATTTTTATTGATTTAAAATATATTTTTCTTAACGGGTAACGGGTCGGGTCATATTATCTGATAATGTTAACGGGTTGATTTCGAGTTGGGTCATATTACCCGTTTACTTTAACAAGTATTACACGACATGACCCGTTAAGCTATCGGGTATGAAACAAAAATGACATGAACACGAGAAACCCGACATGAATGCCAGGTCTACCCATCACCTACCTTTTGCCCACCCAAGCCACCCTTTCTCCGATCCACTTCTACCAAATCAAATGTCAGAAAACCCTAATTCAAAATTTCCAGGCAAAATCCATTGTCTTCTACCCAGTTCATAGAACCCTCGAAAGAACAAATTTAACAACCAGAACCCCAAAATTTGAGCATAAATCATATAAAAAAAACCCACCATCTGCAAGCTTCAAGCTTTAAAACCCAACAACCAGAGGACCATGATTTCAGGCGGAGGTTAAGGAGGGCGATGCGGCCTTGGCAATCACCGACGTTGAGGAGGAGGTGTGAACTAGAGGGATCGACAGAAAAGATATCGTGGTAATGAGGGAGCGGAGAGAGACCCCACTGCTGCTGCCGCTGGTGCATCTTTTCTAAAGAGGTGGGGTGGTTTGAAAAATCTGCCCCAAGAAAAAAAATCAAGGGGGTAAAATCGCCATTGTTGTGGTCTAGATTCTTGGGGAAAAAGACCTTTTGGGGTTGGGACACCTTTGCTTCTGGCGGGTTGGGGTTGAGAGTTTCGGTTCGACATATTCTCCCTCGCACTGAGTCCGATCAGATTTCAATTGAGGGCAAGAAGAAAGGAAATGATGGGAGGGTGGAGCCGTGGAAGAGATGTAGAGGATGAAAAGGTGTCGGGTAAGGAAGACGAAGGAGGATCTGGGTTTTTTAATTTTTTAAGGTAAAGTCTTCCCCACGTGGACCCCTTAATGACACGTGGCACCCAGTCATTGTCCACATGGGCAGCACGTCATCAGTTAACCGGAAACTTAACAGCCAGACTAACGGATGTATGAGACTATCCTAAAATTAACACTTTAGGTATGATTTTGGGATGAAAAAAACTTCATGTACTAAATGTTGAAAACCATGAAACTTGAGGTAGTAAATTGAGATTTACCCTATAGTTTAAGTGTTATAAGTATAACTGCAAAGTGCAACCTCTTGTTTAAGTCTCACAAGATTTACTTCAACTACAACTTACCGTCATCTTTCACATTCCAATCCAGTCAAATATTAGATCTTGTGGCAAATTTGGAATGACCGAAATAATATGGTGTTCATAAATGTTATGCCTTTCACGACGAAATTTAAGTTATTGGCTATATCTGTGGGTGAGTGATATCTTAAAGCTAATTGTAATGGTTAAGAAGGAATACTGATTATATTTCCACGATTATTAAATGGCATCCTCCGGATTAGAGTTTTGTTAAGCTAAATTTTAACAGTTCGGTGGCTGGGGACAAGGCGACAACGAGATGTTTTTCTTAAGGAATCATAATGGGCAACTTACTAGAGGCGGAGCTTTAATTCTTGACGATGCCACTACTTCAAAAGTGGAGGCTAGGGCCATCAGAGATGGCCTTCTTTTTGCTTAGAAGAAGAGATATACAAAGATTATGGTCGAATGTGACTCTAAGGTGGTCATTCAGTCAGTGTTGGACTGGAGTGTGACGCCGTGGAATCTAGTTCCTATTTTGAAGATATCAAGTGGATAGCGACCAAGGCCTTCTTATTACTGATTGTCATATATGGGGTCACTGTATTCTTTCATTTGCTCTTCATGCTCTTCAGTTTGATTCTATAGGGAATGATTTAGGGTTTAGGTAATGATTTTTTAGAGAGTCAAATATCTTTTTTACTCTAATCTAATTTTCATCTCCCCACAATTTCATACATGATAGGAAATACATTGTTTTTATTGCTAAGCCTCACATCATTGTTTTTCGAAATCTCATTGCTAAGCCTCACAATGAGCTAGCAATATTGTGGTTCAAATTTGCCTTTGGAGTGAAGAGGAATACCACTAGACTGTAGTACAAGGTAACTATCATTTCCTTAATTTCCTTACTTGATGGATTTGGATCCCATTCGAATCCAAATTGTGGGAATCTTAGGGATCCTTACATCTTAGCCATTCATTATGCATCGTGCGATCAGAAATCATTTGACTTTTTTTTATTTCAAATTAAAAACAAATAGTACCTAACGAAAATTGACTGCACGATGTATGATGAACAGTTAGGATGTGAGGATACCTAGGATCCCACAAAATGGATCCAGGATCCTCTT